TTTATTCCCAAAATAAGATTAATTACGGTCGAGTTTGATAAATAATGTCAGGTTTGAAGTCCTAAAACATGACAATAATTAGTCTTATTTTAAGAATAAAAACAAGATAACTTTATTTTTGAATTTTCAAACTTTTTTAAATTTAGGAATTGCAAACGTTGCTTTATTGTGCCGCCCACTCCAAAATTGAAACCTAAAAAAATACAGAAGCCGATTCTATCCATAATAATGGCTAGTCCCACACGGCACACTCCCCTACCCCGCTGTAAATATAGTACACCTCTAAACTCGAAGGGTTTGGCCTACAACAGCGCCACAGACCGCCGTTGTGACTTCTTCATTTCTCACCACATCAACTCTCCGATGGCCGGTCTTTCATATATTCTCCCCGTCTTCCTTCTTTGTGTTTTAACACCGGTTCTTTCACGGGTAATACCGGACGACTCACGAACGACGTCGCTTCACATTCCATCTTCTATCCAGAAAACACTCGGTGTGTTCAAGCTCACTTCTCAAGGAGAGGAATCCATTGAAGATCAGAAACAGAGCTTTTATTCTTCTTCTTCCTTCTCCCTAACACTGCACCCTAGACTGTCCGTTAGATCAACCTCGGAGAAGGATTACAGGGCACTCACATTAGCTCGACTCGAGCGCGACTCGACCCGAGTGCAATCGCTTCAGATTCGTCTAGATCTGGCGCTTAACGGGATTTCAAAAGCAGATCTGGAGCCTCTGGAGTTGGAGATGCAGGGTGGGAAGCTGGAAGTGCCCATTATTTCCGGAACAAGCCAGGGCAGCGGCGAGTACTTCTGCCAAGTTGGAATCGGTCACCCGCCGAGTCAGGTTTACATGGTGCTGGACACCGGAAGTGATGTTAACTGGCTCCAGTGCACTCCCTGCGCCGACTGTTACCGGCAAACTAACCCGATTTTCGATCCGGCGAAGTCTACTACTTACTCCCCGGTCACTTGCGATGCCAGCCAGTGTGAATCGCTGGAGGTTTCCGAGTGCCGGAACAACCAGTGTCTCTACCAGGTGAACTACGGAGACGGATCTTACACCGTCGGCGACCTTGTCACGGAATCCATAACCTTCGGCGAGTCGTCTTCAGTGAAAAACGTCGCGATTGGCTGCGGACATAGCAATAGAGGTCTCTTCGTCGGAGCCGCCGGCCTAATCGGCCTCGGCGGCGGCGCATTGTCGTTTCCGTCTCAGATCAATGTCTCCTCATTCTCATACTGCCTCGTGGACCGCGACTCTGACTCGTCCTCAACTCTCGAGTTCGGCTCGGCCACTCCTCCAGACGCCGTCACCGCTCCGTTGATCCGGAACTCGAAAATGGACACTTTCTACTACGTTGACCTGACGGCGGTAAGCGTCGCCGGGAATTTGATCCGCATCCCTCCCTCTCTGAAACTCACTGACGACGGAAACGGCGGAGTTATTGTGGATTCCGGTACGGCAGTGACCCGGTTGCAAACGGACATCTACAACGCCGTCCGGGACGAGTTCGTGAAGGGAACGCGCCACCTGAAGTCAACCGATGGCGTTGCGTTGTTCGACACGTGTTACGATTTGTCGAACTTGAATAGCGTAGAAGTTCCAACGGTGTCGTTTCACTTCGCAGACGTGAGTAGGTTACAGTTGCCAGCGGCGAATTATCTGATTCCGGTGGACTCGTCGGGGACGTATTGCTTCGCCTTTGCTCCTTCGTCTTCCTCAATGTCGATCATCGGAAACGTGCAGCAGCAGGGGACGCGTGTCAATTTCGACCTCAGGAACTCTCTCATTGGATTCTCTTCCCATAAATGCTAAGGATGTGTTAATGAGTATTTTATCATCTGGATTCACTTGTTGCGCGTAGTTGGTTGGTCTAATTTATTGGCAAATGACCTAAGGATTTGTTGTTTTTCGTTCTTCGCTTCTCATGAGTCATGACTAGTAGGTCTTGTCGATTAGCAAATTTGTTTTTTACGATAATCTATATCTATTTATATACTCGGTATAATATAATTCAAACTCTTAAATTAAGTACTTGTGGCATTTTGCAGAAAAAACCCGTTATGTGGCCACATCGGACCACATTGGGCCAGGGCCGCACCGGGGCAACGTTGATATATCCCTTTTTAATTTGTTTGAACTTGAAAAAAAATTACACTGCATCGACCACAACATGCAAGCGATCACAATTTAAAACCTTGATATAGAATGAAGGGTAAATATATAATATATGATGATGGATAATTTAATATAATTATTTAACAAACACACATTTATAAATGGTTATGTTTAAATTAGTTAATAATAAAAATCTATTATAATCTCCTTTGAATCTTATAAATAATTCACAATATCTATTTCATTCTTCATTTTAACTCATCAAATTGACGTCCTACCGGGGCATGCCCCGGGCTTGACACTAGTATTAAACTAAAATAGTTATTTAATATTTAGGATCGCACATTCCCACCAACACAAAATCTCATGTTTATTTTAAAATGTTAGGTACAACTTTTTTTTATTTGTTCTCAGATTGTTATAAAAATTATATCAAAATTCATAACTTTTTATTTTCTTTTAAATGATACCAATATTGATATACAAAAAAGGAACTTTAAAAACTATTTTTTTAAAGTGATACAACTTTTTTATTTGTATTCTGATTATTACAAAAAATATATCCAAAATCATAACTTTTAATTATCTTTCATATGACACCAATATTGAATACATGAAAATAAAAAAAATCATACTTTAAAACACATCTATTTTTCAAAGTACTATATTTTTTATATTTGTACTCCAAACAATGCTTAGAGTATTTTAAATTATGTACTTATTTCAATAAATTTATATTTGTAAAACCGTATAATCATAGTGAAAAATAAGTTTTTCACTATGATTAGGGATGCGGATCATACAAACTTTGGACAAAATATTTTAGGCACTTTTATGCAATGGGACAAAATATGGATTATTTAGATTTTAACAATCTAAAGTAGTTGCAATTGCTTTTTTATTGTTTAGGTGTAATTACTTATATGTACATTACATATATAACATACATTTCGTATAAGGCAACATTTTTCTTTTTTTATAGTTCAATAATATCTAGATTGCAAATTTACGCATACATTATTTTGATTTTAAGTTAATTTGTTGAGTACACTTTTTATAGTAGGTTGACCGTTTATCCTAATATATTTCGGGTTGCAGATTAATATAATACACATCAATGTTCTAAAAGGCGCTAGGCGCTAGTCGGGCGCCAGCCCAGCGCCTAGCGCCTAGTCGGCTAGGCGGGCGCCTAGGCGGGGACTAATCGGAGACATCGAAATTGTAGTTTTATCAATATTTTTGCATAAATATGATTAGTAATGTTGTATTTGTGTGTGTATAAAAATATATACACACATACACATTAACCTGCATGAATGATAGAGTTATCACATTTAATAATATATTATATCTACTCACTTACTCACTAGTAGCTTTCTTCACATGCATTGTCAAAGTTAAATGTACATATTTCTTAGGATACTAAAATAAAAAGGCAAAAAAAAAACAAATTGTTCGATGAATCTAGATGTCTAGGCGGCCCATTAAGCGCTCTGGGCGGGCAACTAGGCGCCCATTAAGCGCAGATTCAATTAGTCGGAGCGCCTAGACCAAAATCGGGGCGCCCGACCACCGCCTAGCGCCTAGGCGGGGACTAGTCGGGCGCCTAGAGCGATTTTTAGAACAGTGATACACATATATCGTTTGATAAAGATTTGTGTACAATAAATGCTTCATTATTACTACATATATTTCATTTCCATCTATACCCTACCGTTTTTCCCTTGGGCTGCCATTTGTAGGTTCAACATTAATTTCCAATTATGTCTTTTATTTGGGCGGGAATTTTACTCCAATAGTTGTAGCAAGACTGTTACTTTATATTATATAAAGATAAAGATAAAGATAAAGATGTATAGGTCAAATTTAGAACTTCTTGTTTGAAGGGTGAAATTTAGTTTTCCTATTTTTTTAAAGGAATATTTGGGTAAATATACAACTTTAAATTGGTATAGCAAATTTAATGTCACATATTTGTGTAAATAAAATGTATAGCCTTTTTGGTTACATGAAGGAGAAAGAAGCTCCTAAAACTAAGGATTGTATTTGGTGTCTTTAAAGAATATACACGTACATAACTGTTTCTCAAGTGAGAGAATATGCTATTTATTTGAAATGTCAAAATAGATGCTACTAATTTCACTTCACCTAATTACATTCTTTATTTTTCTTCAAACAATATAATATGTTTGCAAAAGTAAACTAATATTCTAGTTGTCACTTAAAACTTGGCCAAGTGATAATCAAAAGAGAAAGTGATAAATTTAGTGGGACAACAAAAAAGAAAAGATGATAAAGTTTTAATTAGGGGACGGAGAAAGTAGTTAATTTGGTAATACTATGGTGGTAGTCCTTATTTCTTAGGGAAATTCTTGAAATATAGGTAAGAAGTTAAAAAAATCTCCAAATTCTAAATAAAATTACGGTATTGACATTTTCTAAATAGAAGTAATTACTCTCAAATATAAATAATAATGATAAGGTTAGAGAATAATGATATGTCTAAAAATAGGAGTAAATATTTGCATACTAGTGGGAATTTTCTTTTTTGGAATTTCTCATCGCTTACTCCGTATTACTGTCTAAAAATAACTTTTTTATTTCTTTTTACTCCAAATAAAAGCAATTTCGATTCAAAAAGGAAACAAAAATGATGTTTGTACCCACTCTTATATCTACTTTTGTACCTACCTATGTTTGTGAAGTGTTTTTTTCCTGTGAATCCCAATTCACATACAATATTTTGCACAAACAAAATATTGTCTGTGAATCGGGTTCACAGACAAAAAAAAACACTTCACAAACATGGTGGGTATAAGGTGGGTATAAGAGTGGGTATATTAAGAGTTTTAAAAAAAGCTCCTTATTCATAGTCTCGTATTCTCATAGGATATTGAAATTCAAGGTTAAACGTACATACTTCGTACTCCGTATGCAATCAAAGATTGAGAATATAAATCGTCGCCACGGTTGTGTTCCCCTGCAATTTATTTCTACGAGGATGAATGTGCTAATGCTCCATTTCTCATTTCCGGCTTTATAACGCTACTTACTTGAGACTTGAGAGCTGTTTTTGATCCAATATTCTAATGGCTAATCATCGTGGGAGTAATACTGCGTCCGATCGAATAAGTCAGCTGCCGGAAGATGTAAAACACTTAATTCTGGAGTGCTTAAGCACATGGGAGGTTGCCAGAACTGCTCTGCTCTCAACTCAATGGCATCATGTTTGGTTGCGGCTCGGCCGGCTTGTCTTTGACTGGGAATTCGGAGAAGGTTTACACGACAGAGCATGCTCGAATTTGGTGAAAACGATAACTAACGTTCTTTTTCTCCGTTCTGGACCAGTTAAGAAATTTCGGCTGCAGATGAGTGAAACTACTCTTCAGAAACCCGACTTAGATCTGTGGTGTCTTTTTCTATCAAGAAATGGTATCGAGAAACTTCAACTCTCTGTACGGTTTTATGAAAACTTTATCCACAAGTACACACTCCCGCTCTGCCTATTTTCTTGCCCCACAATTAAGTATCTGGAACTTGAATATGTGGATTTTTTGTTTCCGGTGAATGCTCGACTTGGTAGCATATTTTCGGGTCTCACCTCTTTAAAATTCAAGGCTGTTTTGTTTAACCCTAATGCTACTGGAATTCTCCTTAAGTTACCTAATCTTGAAGAGCTGGTGTTTGATGTATGTGATGACATTCATAATTTTGTGGTCAGTGCTCCAAAGCTTAAAAGCCTCACTTTCACTGATTGTTCGTTGGTTACTGATTGGAAGTGGTTTGAGGTTCATGTTCCAGTGATTAAGACTCTTCACTTTTCTGCATATTCGTTTGGGGTGAGAATCTTGCCTTTCATAAAATGTTGTTTCTTTCATAATGTATTGTGGTGATACATCTGATATTTAGCTCGTCTTTGTTAGAGTTATTATTTCACTGTAGTGTGTTGCATTGAAACACCAAAATCATGAGGAAACACAGAGCATCAATTTTTGCTCAAAAAACGTTTGGTTAGAGAGTTTTTAAAGAGTTTCCGTAGGGTTTCCCAAACGGAAACAACGTACTCTTTCCCGAGATTTTTGTGCTACATAGGTTTCACTCAAGGTTAACTATTTGTTTTATTTTCTGCTATCTTTACTTTATTTTAGGGCCATCATGTTGATGGATTAAATGTGCAAGAGAGGTTGCCAATGGCATTAAATCTGCAAGCGATTGAGCTGGATGGATTATGCTTTTTTTGCGGGAAGTGCTTGCCTCTTGTTATTCAATTTCTTCAAAAATGTCCCAAGCTCAGCCAACTGGAAATGTACATGGGAGTTGAGGAGGTTCTAATATCCAACAATTGCCCTATGTGTTTGAATTTTGATGATTAATATCAGGGTGTTTATGTTTTAATATTTCTTTTACATTGTTGTGTTGTGCTCACAGTGGTCTCCAAGTGTTTTGGAAAATTTAGACAGATGGTTTGGTGATCAAGATCTGTGCAAGCTTAAAAAAATTACGATGAAAGAATTTAGAGGATTAATACCAGAAATGCTCTTAATCAAAATAATCCTTTCGAAGTCTCCCGAGCTTGAGGAAATTATTATTATAGAACCGAATGATGATCAGCTAGATGCTTGTGCGGCTCTCAAAATTACAAGGGAGATGAACAGATTCCCTCGCGCATCTCCAAAAGCACAAGTTATCTTCTTTGGAAACTAAATAGAGCCATACCAGAGTAACGACCGGCTAATTTGTTACTGGATATAATAATAAGACCATTTGCAGCAGTTTAGAATTGTATTTCCATGGATTCTGGATGTGCATATAAGAGCACCAAATTTTGAACCCTTGTTTGTTAGACAATTGGGTTGTACGGAGTATCTAATAGACTAATACTCGTATTCTTCAATTTCGTTTTGTGACTGTGTTTCCCCATTGTATTCTCATGGTTGAAACTTGAAAATTGTGTGCTTTGATTTAAATACTTAATAGTAATTCTTGATTGTTATCAAATTACATTTTTTTACCTTTTATTTAAACCACAAAAACGATTTTCCATCATTTGCAATGGTGCCAAATTTTCACTACGTTTTGGCTTGAAATTATAATGGAATAAACTATAATTTCTCACTAAAATGTCTGCGCTTCTTTGTTATGAAGCAACAACCGGTATATGCATTTCGATGTGATTTTCACCTTCGGTCATCCGAGAACAGTCTCTTTTGAATTTTTGATCATCCAAGCTTGTATTTGTTTATATTCCTTGCTTGGATTTTTGTTCTAGTTCCCGGTCTCCTTTGAAAAATTGTGTGAAGCTCTTAGAAAACACCCGATCAGGTATGTCCTGTTCGGTCTTATTTGAACTCAAACACCAAACTTTCTCTAGCAAAAAATTAAAAGTTCTTTGTCTTTCCCTCATCTTGCCTATCTGGTTTTCATCCTAACTCATTTTTTTCTTCTCACCAACTTACTCATTTTTTCTTTTCCACAATTTTGCTTAGGGTGCCTTTTTGAGTTTTCAACCTATATAAGTGACTTTCCTTTTTATTTTTATCTTTTGTTTCATTATTTTAAATTTTGAGAATTTGTGAACAAGTTAACAAAGGATGGAAGTAGAATTGAACAATATGCCGTATTTAATCACAATACCCTCATGCTTAATACGAGCATTGTGTTGAATGCTGCCAAAAACACCATACCACGGGTAGGGGTGGGATCGGTCCGGTCTGGGTCGGGTTTTTACTAAACCCGGAAATTACCCGGAAGGTCTCGGGTTATGAAAATTAATTAGGGACCGGAACAAAGCCCATTATATTCGGTCCGAGTCGGGTTTTTGGTAGCCCGGGTTCGGTCCGGGTTCGGGTTGGACCGGTTAAAGCCCGGACGTTAAATATGTCATTGTTCTTTTATATTTTAACACTTACTTTCAAATAAAATTAATCAAAAATACAAATCACAAATAATAACACAAATAATAGTCTCCAAAATTACCAATAATTCAAATTTAAAGAAGATAATTATCTTAGTATTTTATGTAAGATTTATATATATAAATAATATAAGTTTCTTAAAAATATTACGAAATAAATTTTATAAATCCAAAAGTTACTAGAGTTGCTATAAATATATTCTCATGGTCATCATTTCGCTAAACAAATTCAACATATTTGTAGTCACTAAAAGTTACTAAATCTTTTTTTTTATCCTCCGTGATTATAATCATATATTAGGAAATATTTTATTTATATTCATATAGTATATTAATTTTATATTAAAACTAATTGTTTCGAGTTTTTTCGGTCCGGGCCGGGTTATAGATTTTAAGGCCCGTTCATGAGCCCGGAATTTTCGGTTTGGTCCGGGTTTTTTTTAATTCGGGCCGGTTAAAAAGACAAAACCCAGACCGGGATCATAATTCGGGTCGGTCCAGGGTCGGTTTCCGGGTTTCGGTTCGGTTTTTCCCACCCCTAACCACGAGGGGGTCCTTGGAGTGATTGGTATATATACTGTTGAGATCCTACAAACGTTCAATTCACTTGGTAAATTTTGACTTGACTGGTTATTCATTTACACCCCCTGTGAAGAGAATATTGTCCAAAACACCATACCCGAGGGGGTCCTTGGACTAAAACTCAACCTTTTTCCCCAAAATAGGACAACATGCACATTTTCCCCTAAATAGGACTAACCTTACCCCTTTTACCCCTAATTCTATTTAATTAATTAATTGATCTAAATAATTGCCCCCTAGTTTCGTTGCACAATCAAGGCAGTCTGTCTGTGGCGGGGCAGTTTGTGGTGGCGGCAGCACTCCGACAGCGGCGGATTCCGGCAACGACGGCAACTACGACAATTAATAACCCAATTAATTGCCCCCCCATTCTCTTGCACAACCAACGCAGTCCGTTGGTAGCTGGGAAGTCCGGAGGCGGCGGCACCTCGGCGGCAGTGGAATCGGCGGTTTCTGGCGGCGCCGACGGCGGGCATCGACAAAATGTTGGCAGACCTCCATAAAAAAATCTGGAATTTTTTTGGCGGTGGTGGCAAGAGGTCCGGCGGCAGGCGGAGGTCCGGCAGTCCCTGGGCAGCGGTGGTAAGGATTGTGAGGGGTATTTTGGTCTAATCACTAATAATAAGGGTCTGTTTGCAACATCTTCTGATTTAAAAAAGTGTTTTTTTTTAATGAAATGAGGAGAAGCGATTAAATAAAAGTTGATAGTGTTGAGAAAAAAAGGATTTTGAAAGGTAAAAGTTGGTAGTGTTTGGTAAAATAAGTGCTTTTTGTGTAATAGAAAAAGTAAAAGCACTTTTGACACGAAAGCGGATAAAAATAAAAGTTGTAGTGTTTGGTAAAATAAGTGTTTTTTTAAGCCAAACGCTGAGAAATGCTTTTTTAAAGCGTTTGCAAACCAACCCTAAAAAGTCCTATTTAAGGATGTTTAAACTAGGTGTTCCTATTTTGGGGAAAAAGTCATGTTTTGGTCCTATTAGGGTAAATCTTCCGTTCTTACGAAATAACTACTACATATTATAATTAATATTTAATATTGTTATAACTAAGTAAACAAATTAGGCAGTTAAGACCAAATACTTATAATTAGGATGTGGAAATATAAAAAATACTTCATCTGTCCCACTAAGATTGTTTCATCTTTCCTTTTTAGTCTGTCCAATTAAGATCGTTTCATGCCAAATTTGGTAAATTTTGTGTGATTCTAAATCATTTTTAATTTATTACTCCGTATTACTTAATGAATTTAATATCAATAACAGAAATCCATTTTAATTTTCTTAATGATCACACTACCTTCTCATGTCCCAATGTTAGTGAGACGGAGGTAGTATAATTTAAAATAATGTGGTTGATTAGTAAAATACGTATTGTTATACGTAATTGTAATAAAAATACTTGGTATTATAACTAGTACTCTCTCCCTCTCATTCAAAGGCTATCACCAGTTAAAAGGTTCTTACTTTCTATTTTAGAAAACAATTAACATTCTTAAATAACAATTTAATCATCAAATATTAAAAATATGAGTCCTACTTGGGGTACCCCAATTTGTACCCCAATCTGTACACTGTCTGTGTACACAGACATTTGGACAGAAAATCATGCCCTCTTTCAATCGAATTGCCTGTGTACACAGGCAATTCAGGGGGTGGGTACAAAATGGGGTACATTTTGGGGTACCTATAGAATTTTTGTAAAAATATTACATTTATAACATCACAGTTTTTATTAATAATCCATTATACTACGTATTATACACCCATCAAACTATTTCTAAAAATATACTCTAATTAGCATATTTAATTAATTTCCAAATAACCGTGTCATTTTATAACAATAGGAACCTTTGAACGGGACGAAAGTAATAACTAATTAAATACCATTGCTATTTTTATTTTTAGAACACACTGTCCTACTACTATTATTAGTATTATTATCATTATTTTTTTATTATTAATTATTGAAAACAATTCCATGCAGTTCTGGATCAATTTGTTTTGGGAAAAGGGGCATATAAGCCCTCGAACTAATAAAATAAGTGCAAATCACCCCTTATTTAGGAGGCTTTGTCAGGCCGTCCTTATTTGGGGAGGTTCCCGGTGAAATGTTTTGATAAAAGTTTTTGAGCATCTTCTTCATTAAGTCTAGTTTACCCATACCAAATTTTAGATAAAAATTCAATCGGGAAGGCAGGCAAATGAATTTTTGAAGATAACTGTGCAGTTAAACATCGCAGTATATTTCAAAAAATCATTTGACTGCTTTCATGGTTTAGTTTTTAGCTGAAATTTGGTATGGCCGTCTGGGTAAACTAGACTTAATAAAGAAGATGCTCAAAAAATTTCATCAAAACATTCCACTGGGAACTGTCTCAAATGACGATGGCCGGATAGAACCTCCCACATAAGGGGTGATTTGCACTTTTTTTTGTTAGTTCGAGGGCTTATTTGCCCTTTTCCCATTTTTTGGAGAATCAAATTGGACTAGTGAACCTGAAGTTCCGAATTGGAGCCCCACTGTCTATCTGTCAGATTGTGATTATAGTCCAATTTACATGCATCCTCCCATCGTGCCCTCCGGTCGGTGTTGGGGGGCCCTCAGGGATGGGGTGTCATCTTTTTTGATGTGATTTTGGTTCCAAAACTAACCGTTACAATTCTGTCATCAATTTAAAGTATGTGTAGGGGCGTGGCTTGGGGAGCGAACCGGCCCACGGCCCTCGAGCTTCTGTAAATGCTTTAGATTTTGTATGTGCAAATAATTGTTTACAGAAATATGTGATAGGATTTGTGTATTATAGTTGATACAGCTACTCCTCTACTATTCTGTAAAATAGTTCTCAATTTGACTTGAACGCATATTTATGTAAGATAAAAAGTTTTTTTCTTTCTAAACAAACACTTAATGTATGTCAAATCAAGCAAACATAGGCATAATGTAAGAATAGTTAAATTTCTTATTGATTTTTTTTTACTTCCTGTGTTCCATAAAGTTCTTCCCGGTATGATTTAGATCGGAGCTTGAGAAGGTGAGAATAAAGTAAAAATATATTGTGGTTGAGTAAAATAATGACAAATAATGAATGTTAGTAACACTAACATTTTCAAAAAGGAAAAAAAAAATATACACAAAAAGAAAAGTGAAAACTTTATTTCGAGCCAACCACAGTAATTTAATTCTATCCTTCTTGTTGTCATATGTATGGAAAGAGTAGACATTTCATCTACCAAAATTTCAAAAAGTTAGCTTGTAGAAGTACAACACATGTCACTTTAATGCGACTTGTATGTTGTCACTCTGCCACGATATAGGCTTGTTGTATCCCTTGTCCAAAGAGCTTTCATCGATTATTTCTTGAAAGTAAGGTTAATATTTTTTCATTGATTTTTGTGTGGATGGGAGGAATTTCACCGCAAGTGAAGGGATGGTAATGCCAATTTCTGTTGTTACATACTCCCGTATAAATCATGACAAGCTCAATAAGCACATTTAAACTAACACTAACACCTAATTATCTACCTTAATAAATTGTTACGACCAAACCTCTAAATAAAGTTGTGTGGAGGTTCGGTCGGAAAGGTCAAATTAACAGGGTTGGATCCAAAAATAACCATCCGGGTTCAACCCAAAAAATATTATAAAAAATCCCAGTAATTAAAATGAAGGGATTTCATATAAATTCTAATTACTTTAGTCTTTTTCCCATTTTGTTTACCTTTATTGGGTTTATAATCCCCCCAACGTTTGGTCACATTGTTGAGTACGATGAAGTATGGCGAAGGCGTGCAATAGAAGCCTGGGATCACGCCCTCAAGACTTATGAGCCAGAGCCTCATAATGTTACAAATACCTTAAATAGCCAAGTTGAAAAGTGTGTCATAGTTTGTGCTCTTGTTTATTATTATATATATGTATGTACCATTGCATGTTAATAGTTTCTTTTATTGGTGTAATACATATAAATACGTTACAGGACATTATTGGAGTCACAAGATGAGTTTGCTGACGGAACAGACAATAGTACAGGAAGGCATCTCCTAGGTACAAAAAAGTATATGGGGCCATGCAACGCCACGAACCCGATCGATCGGTGCTGGCGTTGCGATCCCCATTGGGCAACCAATAGGAAGAGATTGGCCGATTGCGGCCTCGGCTTTGGCTATAAAGCCAAAGGTGGCAAGAACGGGAGGTTCTACGTTGTCACAGACTTCTCCGACGATTCTATGAATCCTAAACCAGGTTCCCTCCGACACGCCGTGATCCAAAAGGAACCGTTGTGGATCACCTTTGCGCATGACATGAACATTAGGCTTCACCAGGAGCTGATCATGCAAGGTGACAAGACGATCGACGGTCGTGGGGCACAGGTACACATTAGTGGTGGGGCTGGGATCACCCTCCAATTCATTAGGAATGTTATCATTCATGGGATCCACATTCATAACATCGTCATAGGTACCGGTGGTCTTGTAAGGGACTCAGTCGAACACTTCGGGATTCGAACTGTGAGCGATGGCGATGGAATTTCCATATTCGGCTCATCGGACATTTGGATAGATCACGTTTCCATGAAGAATTGCTATGATGGCCTTATTGATGCCATTGAGGCCTCCACGGCCATCACCATTTCAAACAGCCATTTCACTGACCACAACGAGGTATATAGACTAAACCGGTCTATACATAACAATGTTTTATATGCTGGGTTGTAACTTTATCTAGTCACATTTTTTATAACATGTGTATGATCAATCCTTATTAAAATCCGGAAAGACTTAATTTGAAGTTAATGATGATGTAGGTGATGTTATTTGGTGCAAATGATTTTTCCAAAAAAGATGAGATTATGCAAATAACGATTGCTTTCAACCACTTTGGGAAGAGATTAGTGCAAAGAATGCCAAGGTGTCGGTATGGATATATTCATGTTGTCAACAATGATTACACTCATTGGAACATGTACGCCATTGGAGGCAGTTCTCACCCCACCATCATTAGTCAGGGCAACCGGTTCATTGCTCCTCCAGACATCTTCAAGAAAGAGGTACCTAAATACACATTCAAAATTTCAAATAAGTATAAACGGACTCTATTTCATTAAACAATGTCTATATATATTGGTCATATATATGGTATGTAGGGAGTGCATCAGTGCATGCATGTATTGAACTTGTTTAATACTTCGTTGCAATCTTCCATAGAAACATGAGAAATATGGAGAACTGTGACATGTGAAACGTGAGAAACGTCATTTTTCAATTTAAAAACAAGTATTTATAGAGTTTTTAAAGAGTTTTCGTAGAGGTTCTGAAACGAAAACTATGTACTCATTGACATGAGCGTTCGTGCTTCGTAGTTTTGGTGATTTGAAGTTTCGTACATTATATATTATGTAGGTAACACATCGAGCATCCGGGACCCCCGAAGAATGGAGGCAATGGACTTGGAGATCAGAAGGGGATGTGTTCATGAATGGAGCATTCTTCGTTGAATCTGGGGACCCTAAGTTTACGTCAAAACATGCGAAGCTCTATGATGGGATAAGGCCATTCAAAGGGGAGGAAGTGACTTGGATTACTAGGTTTGCAGGGGCACTAACTTGTAAGATAGGACTGTCCTGTTAGATTTTCAATTTTGTTTCTTTTTTCTTCTAATTCTTGATGATATCTCCCACATGCATTATTAGAATTTACATTAACTGCTAGTTAATGGTTACTAGTCTAATTAGGATGCTAATCATATGGTCAAAGTGTGGTGAATTGTATATGTCTTAGCATGCTCCTTGGCCTCCTTGTTCCCCATTAGTTAAAACCTTGAGAAATATAAGGTCTCTTTGTTAATCGAGATATGTGGTTTTGTACACGATCATATCTCCATATGTAATGTAATAGTGTAATGCCCTCTCCATATGTAATATATGGTGGGCCTAAATGATTGCAAATATGTACGTAGTATAATTTGTTAATATTATCAATGCATATTGGATTTAATTTTTCACGTGAACCTTGCTTATTACGTACGAGTATATGAATTGTTGATGGAGCACCATTCTTAATGATGTTTGTAAAGCTTAGAGTGAGACAAGACCATAAAGTACTACAATGCAGTGAATAATGATGTATTCGATAGTTTTTATAAGTTATTATTCTTTCATAAATGATAAATAAGAGCAAAAAGTTAGAGCTAATAAGATAAAGGTATTGCTCAAAATAGAAAAAAAAGTGGACAAAGTTTTAAAATAGGAATCGTATATTTTATTCTCAAAGTGACATTTATTTAGGGATATTAAAATAATAAAAATCATAAAAACTTTCCAAAACAAGAGTGGATGAGTTCTGTTTTAAAAACAAAAAAAATGTTACTGATGTTAGAGAAAATGTGTTAGTTCATATATTTTACTCCTATTTAACAAATTTCTCTAAATAATAGTGGTACTTCGTACTTTCGTAGTAATAACTTTTTCCAGAGCTATTGAAGTGCTTGCAGTGTATATCAGTATATGAATATGAATTAGGTTGTACTTCTAACATCAACATATACTTTGAGTCTTTGAGCCCGTTTGGTAGCACCAAAATTGGTTGATTTGACTGATTATGCTTAAATTTATGAAGTTCTTATTGAAGTGGCTGCATTGTCACTCTGCCGATTTAAGAAAAATTATCTGTAAAATATATTTTATTAATGAAATTTAAAGAAAAAATTATATGTAAAAATAGTTAAAATGACCATCTACAGTAACTTCAGCCAATATAGCCACAAAAGTAACCCCAACCATACTTCTTCAACTTGTTTCACAATTGAACGCGCGAAAGTAAAAGTTGCGTGTGTGGGGAAAATATTAGTTGATAAGCCTGATAAGCTGAAAAAGAGTGCTGCCAAACGGCCTCTACATTTGGCTTTGTTTCACTTAAAAAAAGCCAAATATTTGGCATTACCTCATATGTAATGACTACACAAGTAATCCGCTTGAATGCAATGAAAATAGTATTACTTCATTCAATTTAAATTTGGCATGAGCTTTTGGGCATTGCCCGTACAAAACATTAGTTATTCACTTTTAGATAAAAGGTAAAGAAACGGGATGTGATTTGATAACAGTTGGGATAAATTAAGGGAATTAAATTGCTAGCAGTTGTAATTCAGAGAACATAAGTTTCAAGTTTCAACCATGAAATAAAATCTGAGAAACTTTCAGTCACAAAATGAGAATGGAGAATACTAGATACAACCCAATTATCTAACATCACAACTAACAAGTGATCAATAACATCACAACTAACAAGTGATCAAAATTCTGTGCTCTTTATATGCACAATCAGAACCCTAGGAGCAAAGAGCCTAATAATGTTCAGTAACAAATCAGCCAGTCTGGTGTAGCTTCATTTGGTGTCCAGGATGATAACTTGTGCTTTTGGAGACGCGCGAGGGAATCTGATCATCTTTGTTGTGATTTCGAGAGCCTCAGACAAATCTAGCGGATAATTTTTCGATTTCATAATAACAACTTCCTCAAGCGCGGGAGACGCTGAAAGGATTATTTTGATTAAGTGCATTTGTGTTCTTGATCCTCTAAATTCTTTCACCTGAAGTGTTTTAAGCTTGCACAGATGTTGATCACTAAACCATGTGTCTCGTTTTTCCAGAATACTTGGACAATAATCCCTCGACCATGACTGCAGCACAACGATGTAAATGAAATATTAGAACATAAACACCCCCAGATCTTAATCACATAGGGTAATTGTTGGATATTATAACCTCATGTGCTGTCTCAACTTCCAGTTGGGAGAGCTTCGGAGATTTTTGAAGAAGTTGAATCACAAGAGCAAGGGGCTCCAGGAAACAAAAACATAACTCGTCCAGCGTAATCACTTACAGATTTACTGCAATTGGGATCATTGGGATCCTGATCTCTTGCATATCTAATTCATCATCATGTTTTCCCTAAAATAAAGTAAAATTAAGAGACAACATCATAACAATAAACAATTTGTTAAACTTGAGTGAAACAAGAACTCTCACAAGAAGAGCTAAAAATCAGATGTATCACCACAATTCATTATGAATGAAACAACGGTTTATGAAAGGCAAGATTCTCACCCCAAACGTACATGCAGAAAAGTGAAGAGTCTTAATCACTGGAGCATGAAGTTCAAACCACTGCCATTCATTAAAGGTTGAAGCATAAGTCAAAGTGAGGCTTTTAAGCCTTGGAGCACTGATTGCAAAATAATGAATGTCAACACAATTCTCAAACACCAGCTCTTCCAGATTAGGAATGGTAAGTAGAATTCTATTAGCATTAGGGTTAAACACAACAGTCCTGAATATTAAAGAGGTGAGGCTCGGAAATATATTATCTCGTCCAGCATTAACCGGGAAATAAAAATCCACATGCTCAAGTTCTAGATTCTTAATCGTAGGACAAGAAATTAGGCAGAATGGGAGTGTGTACTCCGGAAGGTTTTCGTCAAGCTCCATACAGAGTTGAAGTTTCTCGATACCATTTCTTGATAGAAAGAGACACCACAGATCTAAATCGGATTTCTGAGGAGTACATTCACTGCTGAAAGTCTGCAGCTGAAATTTCTTAACCGGTCCACAACGGAGAAAAAGAACGTTACTTATCATTTTCACCAAATTCGAGCGTTCTCCCAATTTCCAGTCAAAGACAAGCCGACCGTGCCGCAACCAAACATCACGCCATTGAGTTGAGAGAAGAGCAGTCCTGGCAGCCTCTCGAGTGCTTAAGCACTCCAGAATTCTGTGCTTTACATCTTCCGGCAATTGACATATTCGATTAGACGAAGGTTTTGGTTTTTGAAGACGATTAGAAGAAGTTTTACTCCGAGTACGAGTAGACATTTGATAAAAACAGCTCTCAAGACTGTAGATAGGTATTTTATTTATATTAAATTAATTAATTTTAATTAGGGATTGTGTTTAGTAAAATAGGGGCTGCATTTAGAATTACCTCTCGCATTAACCACACGCAGAACTTGTTCGGCAGCCCTTTTTCGACTTATTGGGCTTATCGGGCTTACTGTTGGGTATTTTCACGAAACCCATAACTTTTGATTTTGTGCACTAAATATGTAATAATAAGAAAAAATAAGATTGAAGTTATTTTGTGACTGTATTGGCTGAAGTTACCGTAGAGTGGAGTATCATTTTAACTACTTTTTCATATACGGAGTAATTTTTTATTTTATTTATTAATAACAAATATTTTAAATATATTTTTTTATACTCCCTCCATCCCGCTATTAACTTCCTACTTTGACCTACACACATATTTAGGAAATAAATTTGACTTTACTGTTTAGACACTGTTTGGCACTGTTTAGACACTGTTTGGCACTGTTTAGACACTGTTTGACACTGTTTTGCACTGTTTGACACTGTTTTGATGCAGGATAACTTTCCATTTAGGGAAATGAGAAGATGATTTTGGGACGGCCCAAAAAAGAAAGCAGGAAGTTAATAGCGGGACGGAGGGAGTATATCATTTGAATCAGCAAATACAACCACTTCAGCCAGAATATCATAAATTTCAGCAAAATCAGCCAATTCAGTCAATTTCAATGTTACCAAACGGACTCGTATTCTCGTAGAAATAAAATACACGGGAACACCTTAATTAAAGCAAGAAGGCGACAATTTATATTGTCAATTTACTAGGTATGTACTTTTAATCTATGAATTTAAGTACTCCGTATAAATACCAAATTAACTCGTAATTTAGATTAATACATAATAAAATGAGGGTAATTGATGATAATTGTAATGTTATGGATGTGTTATTTTTAATATGGGATGATAAGCTATCATTTAACGATGTAACTTTTTTTCTTAGAAATTTTAACAATGTTACTTATTTCCGTAAATATAAACGAAAACCTTTAAATTCATAGAAGAAGGGGGCGGCGGGGCGCCATGAGTATACTAATTATAACTACCCTAGCACTTTCGGTGAAGAGGGGCGCCGGCCCTTGCTCGCCCCTGCCGGGTTCCGCCCCTGTTTAAATGGGACGTCCTCATGTCCACCAATAAAGACAAGTTAGAAACCTTTGACTAGTTAAGAGTTGTAATGCTTTTGATGCATCTACTACATGCATTTTAGCAATCTCTAGTTAAGAGTAATGCTTTTGTAGCCTCCATTACATGCATTTTACCAATATGCATCATTTCTTGGTTTCCTTGATAATATTATACAGAGTAGTAATTTTATTAAAGTGCTTATAGTATGTATTAGTATATGAATTAGCTAGGTTATACGTAGACCGTAGTGTATAGTGTGTATTAGTATATGAATTAGGTTATACGTACACCGTAGTGTTGAGGATCGATTCCGTTGACGTATTCCGGCTCAGGCAGTCCGGACGTCAATTTTCCGGTGTCTCTTGTGCACACCTAGACTAAGGGAGCAACACACCCTTGCCGACACTCACACTCCTCACCTCAACAAGAAGAAGAAGAAGAAGAAGAAGAAGAAGGAAAGCTGCCTCACTTGGAGCACTCTCTCGGCTAGGAAGAAAAGGTTCAACTAATGAAACTCTTTGGTTTGTGTTTCACTCAGAGAACAAAGGGTGTAGGGGTTTCCATATATCAGGGAAGAATTTGACCTTATAAGGAGGGACTCACAAGGACACTCAATAATGAGTTCAATTTGAATTCTAACAGGAGAGAAAAATACTAATAAGCCAGACAGATAAATGGGCACAGTGTAGCGGACTGCTAAAAAGGGTGTTAACCATTGTTAATATGCAAAAAATGATTGGGCCAACAATATATTAACAACCTCCACCTTTGGCCTAAGGTAGTGCACTTAGACAATTCATAGAACCGCGAACTCATCATTGCCGAATAATTACAAGTATAATCACAAAAGTAGTAAAAATATTGTTTTATCCAAACATTAAATTTCTTATTGTAGAGTAAGACATGCAACTTATCACAACACATGACACTTTGATGTATTTTTTAAACTATATGGGATAATGCACATAACCTACATTTGAAGGGAAGTTCATACAATCAACCCAAAGTATACAACAACTTGGTGATCATTTTTCAGTTTGGCCTATTAAATTTTTACAGGGTCTTATTCTTAAGAGTCACATAATTATAGAATGAACTGAGACATTGATTATTTTCAATCGGACTTATATTAGTAGTTTGAAGATAGATTGTGCCTGCTTCATTCGAAATGCACAAATTTAATCAACACTAAACTTAAACACTACAATTCTTTAATACGTGCAAGGTCATCAATCGCTTTTTAACCTTCTACGTAAACATGAACATTTATTGTATATGCGATTTCAAAACCATGGATATCTAATATTTATACAATCCAAATCACAGTGGTAAAAGTAAAAAGTTTGGAAATTTGGTGCCTGTTTGATTATCAAGATCTTCTTACTTATGAAATTATTTCATGAATTTATGAAATCAAAATATTTTGAGTGTATTTTTTAGATAGGTTTTCTATTAAAAGACTTATGATTCATCTAATAACCAAACATTGACACATTGTACATGGTTATCCTAATTACCTTTGGATGGTTACATTGTGACTAAAAATTATTGTTGAATAATGAAGTAATTATTATAATACATTAAACTACCTCGCATGGCGGATAAAGTTATATGAATATTTGTTCCTTATCCATCCCATAATCATATTTATTGATACTAAAATAAAAATTAAAGAAATTATTTTAAGATTTTCTACTTTTTAATCTTGCGAGTTGATTTTCTCATATTAATATAAATATTAGTAAAAATAAGATATATAAAGAAGAAGTTTTTTTTTTTAGTTTTTAGGCTAACACTTGATATGTACTACTTAATTTTTTGTTGAAAAACTCTCTCGGGGCTCTCTCTAGAGAGAGGAACCCGAGCGGCCGTCTCTCCTCTTTGTAGGGGTTGAGATTTTCCGCCGCCCTTATCAATATGAGGTTGGAGTGGTAGATTATACTTATTTTAAGTGTTCTAACGCTTGAAATTGCAACTACGTCTGAGAAGATAACGTTGGCGGATGAACTAGGTGCGGCTGGGATGTTGTATTGAGAGTGGATCGTGAAGCTTTGGTCGGCCATTCCACGGGTGGAGTTGATATTCACGCATATTGCAAGAGCTCGTCCTCCTCCGGAACCACCTCCATATCAGGAAGAGCTTTCTAACAAGATCTTATTTCAGTATTATTTTTTCTTTAGTAGCACTTGTTTCTGTTTTAGCCCGAGTAGATTTGGTTTGAATGTTTGGATTTTTGGAGTTCTTTTGATAGACATGGTTTCGGTTCCGATAGTTTTAAGCCTAAATTTTCCCGTATCAGGTTTAGCGAGTCATGTTACTTTGTATAAGGTGGTTGACTCAAAATCTACTGCTAGGGTTCACGATTGGATCTGTAAATTCTGTTTGAAAATTGTCTTGAATGTGTTCTCGATTTTAATATAATGACCGCTCTTTGATGATAAAAAAAAGGCTAACACTTGATATATAACGAGAAAACTTTTAGAACTTATATTAGAATCATAGAATCAATCAACCATACATCATGGTTGTCATCTACCCTCACCCTCCATCTAAATTGATTCACATTTTGAACTATTTGTGGCAATTGTAAAAGAATCGTAACATTTATTCGGAAAAATGTGGTCCAAAGGAACCGCAACATTTGTATCGAAAAATTAAGACTATTTGGCCATTTGATATGGCCGATTACAGGGCCGGTCCTGGGGCATGAGCAGGAGGGGCATGCGCTCAGGGCCCTTTGCTCCAGTAAGGCCCATAAATTTCTCAAACATATGTGTGTACATAAATATTTTAATTATATATACATCCTAAATTCATAAAAAAATAAAAAATAAAATCAAACATATATATTTAGATACTTCTAATTTGTTATTTACCATCTACACGATACAAGTCTATAATTTAGAAACATTTACATTAGAATTCGTTAGGAACATATTTCGCCATTTCTTTTGAATCATTACGGATTATTACATTAAATTTAATCTTTTAGTGGCTTAGTGTACATGTGTTATGTATATCCAGAATTCATTGATGTATTTCACAAATTTCCTCCAATGCTCTCTTTAGTGAAAGATTGAACTTTAGTGTCCATAATTTAGAAACTTAGAATTTGTTTTTGTCTAATGAAAATGTGATTTAAAATATGAAATAGTTACTCCTTATACAAGATATAACTTTCACAACTTTCTTTAATTCAAAATTATTATTGTGCCTAATATATAGTTGCAATACTTGTTTCACTCGGCTGTTAGGTACATTGTATCATCGAATGTCACTTATCAATAGATTCAATACCCTATATATATATTTTCTAACCACATGCTTTGTTGGTTTTTTTATGTGTTATACTAGTATTTTGACGGTAATATTGTGTAATTTTAAATTATACTAGTAGATTTTTATAGCAAAAAGAACATTATAAACATTCTTGCGCTATCCCTGAGGCCCAGCCTATTTGTATTGTCCTGGGCCCATAAAATGTCAGGACCGGGCCTGGCCGATTATGAAAATTGTGAAATCAGGAATCAAAATATACTACTTGAGTCAAATTTTGTTACTTTCGATGGGTTTGACTTTGTCATGCTATAAGCATGACAAAGTGTTCTAAATTCCACAGTAATTACTCTAGTTTGGTGACTAAAAATATAGCACTTCTATTTTGAGATTTTAAATTGATTTACTCTTATAAAAATTGAATCAATTGCATCTTAAATAAATACAACTATCAACAAATTCATTTTATATTTTCATTCTATCTCTAAATAACATTAAACTTAAAAACTACTCCGTATTAACATTTAACACCACAGA